CCTACTTTGATAGCTCTTACATCCATTTTTACAGAAATATTTGAATTTTAAGTGAAGCGAGCACTTAACAGTAATCAGTACAAATGTACTGAAACTTTTTGACCCCAGTGTATCTGAAAAAATATATTATTTTAGAGCAATATTATATTTAATGTATATATGGAAAAAAATAGTATTCATATACCACCGTAAATACGACCCTAAATACGGGCAAAAATATATAGGGCTGTATTTACTGTTTCAATTACACTACCCTACTAACTGAGGCTTCTATTTATGCCCGTATTTAGGGTCGTATATTTACGGTCGTTTATTTTCAGTAGGGAGAACGTAATAATAAAGAAACGAGGGCTTGGTTTGTCAATAACGCAAATGTCCACCGTGAAAGCACAAAATTGTTTTTTTAGCGAGAAGACGTTGCATTTTATAAATTTCAAAGTGCGATTACTACTATAGTTTTGTGTTTACGTGTTTATTTCATCTTGCATTAAAGAGAGGGTTTAACTATATAGTTCCAAGACTGTGAAAGTTTTTTTTAATTTCTTAACGGTGTTAGTATAAAATACGTAATTTTGAGAATTGCTTGTCCCCTAGTACCGGACACACACTGAAAAAACCTAGTCTCAAAATGAGTTTTTGAGTTGCAACAAAAATGAGACTCTTAGGTGGCGCTACGTTCTATGGCGTTTAACATAGTCTCATTTTGAGATGCAACAAAAATGAGACTGGGTTTTTTGTGTGCAAGGATTTCCCCTAGTACCGGACAGTTGATAAATTGGTTTTTATAGGTAAACTCACCCAACAAATGAATAGTTAAGTTACTTTTGTTTTATTTGAATATATTAGACAGGAATATTCGTTGAACCAATCATACACTTAATGTGAATGTGTATTGTGTAGAATGCACTGTAAGGCTGGAGTCCCATGGTAGCGTTTTGCGTTGCGTTTTGTAACTAGGCCATAAGTGCAAATATAGCAAACATATATCTCCATCTCTCTCACACTCATGGCCTAGTTACAAAACGCAACGCAAAACGCTGTCATGGGACTCCAGCCTAAAATTTAAGTAAAAAAGAAAAAAAATTGGACAAGTGCGAGTTGTACTCGCACTGCAATGGCGGGTTCCGTACACAAATATTAAAACAATACTTGCAACATTTATCGGTAATTGGTAGAATTAAAATAAACAATTAAAAAAACATATTAAAATCATTTGATAAAAAAGAATAACTAAAAAAATTAAAGTATTGTATATATCTAATATTGTAAACAATAATAAGCAGAGGAACTATAATTTTGAAAATTTTGTTCCTCTGCTTATTATTGTTTACAATATTAGATATACAATACTTTAATTTTTTTTAGTTATTTCTTCTTATCAAATGATTTTAATATATTTTTTTAACCACTTCGGTGGCGTGGCGTTCCAATTGGCGTTCCACGTCCCTGGCCAAAAGTGGCGAAAATAGCGAAATGGCGTTCCAACTTTTTCTAGATTTTTAAAGAGTATATTTAATTTTAATCTACTGCAACAACAATATATTTCTATGTTTCCAATATCAGGGAACACAAAAATGACAATAAAAATTTGTTTTTTTAAGATTTTCACTGTTTTTTGGACGTTGCAAAATGTCATTTTTAATACTTTTCTACCAATGGCGTTCCACTTTCGCTCAAATATTGACAAATAAACTCAAGATCTTTCTATGGGAAATAATATTTATATATATCTTAGAATCTCTGAATCGTAGAATTGTGTTATAGAATCATTTGTAAATTGTTATAAACAAATTATATAAACAAATTGTTAATTAAGACGATGTGTTCAATGAATTTTAATAAAAATTGTTACTCGGGAGTTTTTGGGGTCGCTGATAACGAATCCGATGTCAGTTTTTAAAAATTCAAAATGGCGAATCCAATATGGCGGACGAGTTTATAAAAAATTGATTGAATTCGCTTGAAACGTTTTACTCCGGGGTTTTTGAGGTCGCTGATTACGAATCTGATGTCAGTTTTTCAAAATTCAAAATGGCGGATTCAATATGGCGGACGAGTTTATAAAAAATTGATTGAATTCGCTTGAAACGTTTTACTCGGGGGTTTTTGGGGTTGCTGATTACGAATCCGATGTCAGTTTCTCAAAATTCAAAATGGAGGATCCAATATGGCGGACGAGTTTATAAAAAATTGATTGAATTCGCTTGAATCGTTTTGCTCAGGGGTTTTTAGGGATGCTTATTAGGAATTTCATATGAGTTTATCATGAAAAGCAACAGTTAAAATGAGTCAGGAAAGTAACTTATTATGAGCTGCAACAAAAGTGAGCCAAGATTTTTTTTGCTTATATGTCAAGGACCAACCTGCATTCGCTAGAGAAATTCGCTACCCAGAGCACCCCACAAGGAGGCTGCAGCGATAGGATTTTGTGGTCCTTTATTTTTTGTATTTTCTTTGTTTTTTTTGTTAATTAATTTTTTATAAACTTGTCCGCCATATTATATCTGCCATTTTGAATTTTAAAAAACTGACAACGGATTCGTAATCAGCGACCCCAAAAACCCCCGAGTAAAACGTTTTAAGCGAATTCAATCAATTTTTTATAAACTCGTCCGCCATATTGTATCCGCCATTTTGAATTTTTAAAAACTGATATCTTATTCGTTATCAGCGACCCCAAAAACCCCCGAGTAAAACGTTTTAAGCGAATTGAATCAATTTTTTATAAACTCGTCCGCCATATTGAATCCGCCATTTTGAATTTTGAAAAACTGACATCGGATTCCTAATCAGCAACCCCAAAAACCCCCGAGTAAAACGTTTCAAGCGAATTCAATCAATTTTTTATAAACTCGTCCGCCATATTGGATCCGCCATTTTGAATTTTTAAAAACTGACATCGGATTCGTTATCAGCGACCCCAAAAACCCCCAAGTAACAATTTTTATTAAAATTCATTGAACACATCTTCTTAATTAACAATTTGTTTATATAATTTGTTTATATAATTTGTTTATAACAATTTACAAATGATTCTATAACACAATTCTACGATTCAGAGATTTTAAGATATAAATAAATATTATTTCCCACAGAAAGATCTTGAGTTTATTTATCAATATTTGAGTGAAAGTGGAACGCCATTCGTAGAAAAGTATTAAAAATGACATTTTGCAACGTCCAAAAAAACAATGAAAATCTTTTTAAAAAAAATTTTTATTGTCATTTTTGTGTTCCCTGATATTGGAAACATAGAAACATATTGTTGCAGTAGATTAAAATTAAATATACTCTTTAAAAATCTAGAAAAAGTTGGAACGCCATTTCGCTATTTTCGCCACTTTTGGCCAGGGACGTGGAACACCAATTGGAACGCTACGCCACCGAAGTGGTTAATTGTTTATTTTAATTCTACTAATTACCAATAAATGTTGCAAGTATTGTTTTAATATTTGTGTACGGAACCCGCCATTGCAGTGCGAGTACAACTCGCACTTGTCCAATTTTTTTTATTTTTAGTTAAGAAATTAAAGTCAGAAAACAATCTCTCATTTATTCTCTTAAAATTTCACTCTTCCTTAAAATATTTAATGCCACGTGTTTAAACTAAAAAAAATTAAAAAAAATTTTTTTTTTTTGAAAAAAAAAATTAAAAAAAAAAATTTTTTTTAAAGTTTCTTAAATAAATTTTTTGTCGTCAGACTGTAATAATACACCAGGATACCAATTTCCAGCTCATTAGGTCAAATAATGTAAAAGTTAGGGAAAACAAACTTTTTTTTTTAATTTTTTAGTTTTTCCTTGACAACGCTATGGCCATCATTACATATCAAGTTCTCTATATTTTTCCTGTAATATTCAAGTAAAAATACACCAGCATGCAAAATTTCAGCTCTCCATGTCGAATAGTTTAGAAGTTAAGGGGGGGGGGGAATGGTCACTTTTTATGCATTTTTGGCCAAAAATCTTGTTATTTCTTTGACAACGCTATGCCTATCACGTCCAATCACATTCGCTATATTTTTCCTGTAATCTACGAGTGAAAATACATATCTGGACCAAATTTGAGCTCTTTAGGTCAAATAGTTTAGCCGCTAGGGGGGGGACACGATTTGGCTACGGACAACAGAGTCTCACCATTAGGGTTCCGCCGATACACCGTAGGTGTACGGAACCCTAAAAAAAGAAAAATAAATTTTTCTAAACTTGGTGATTTTATTTTACAAAACCCTTGTTAATAACACACTTCATTTAATGCGTCAAAAATACTGTAAAATAATGATCAAAACCACGAAATTAGTTTTAAGGAGAATTAAATTTGTATTACGTCCCTGAATGATATCTCTCATTTTTGAATTGAATTTGCGCATTTAAAAACAGTTGTCGTCTTCCCTTTGAAAGGGCAAGTCTCTAATGTTGATTTTCGAGAGTGAGTGAGTGATTCATACCACAAATGAAACAATGTAATATAGTGAAATAAATGTTGGTTTTTTTATGAAAAAATTAACTTTGTTATTTTTAATTTTCAAAATGATTAGTGCCAAATACTAAAGGTTTAAGTTCATCTATTGCTGAAGTTTCAGCAACGAACCAGATTTCGAAATCATAATTTCAATTATGATAAGTGATTAATACATAGTTCAAAATCTAAATTTTGAAGAACAATCAAATTGGCGATCCTGTTAAAGTAAAATTTAATGTGCAAACAATTTGGCGATCCTGCCAGGATATGATGAACTCTTTTGTATTAGTGAAATGTGCTCTTTCTGAAAATTAAAACATGTGCTTAGCCATTTTGGACTCGATATCGGTGAAAATTCGCCATTAGTGATTTCAAGAAGGTCACGTATACCTTCAAAATATCAGCTCATTACTCACACTCTCTCTGTCCTCTCTTTCGTTTACTCACACAACAAATCTACTCGTATCCAAAATACAGAGGCTAGCCTTTGAAAACGAAAACTTTCTTCTCAAGGCTACTGCTATCAACCAACACAACAATGACGGACGACGACACCAAGAAAATAAAAGAGATTCCTTCACTAAATAGTCTCTTACAAGATCAACAAGTAGAAGTCGATGTAATCTACAGATCAATGAATTATATTTGTCAACTTACTGAAGAATTTCGAACTGGACCAATTCTAGAAAATCGATCAAAACATCTTTACACGGCTTGGGCCAGTTGTACTTCTCGTCATTACCAAATACATCACGCAGCTTCAAATGAAGACAAGAAGACTCGATCTTATTTTCAAAAACGATGTTACGAGAATTTAGAAGAAAAATACTTGGAAACAACAGATATAATCTCAGAATGGATGACAAAGGCTAATGCATATCAGACTACTGCAATTCATCTTCAAGGATCAACACCAACACCAGGCAATTCCAATGTTAAACTACCACAGATAAGTATCCCAACGTTTTCGGGTAAATTCACAGATTGGGCACCATTTAAAGATTCATTTAAATCTATAATAATAAATTGTGCACACTTATCAAATTTGGAGAAATTGCATTACCTCAAATCATCTGTTCAAGGTGAAGCGTATGAATTAATTTGCAATACTCCAATGATAGAAACAAACTTTACTAGTGCATGGGCGTTGCTTGAAACTAGATATGAGAATACTCGTGCAATTGTAAATTCACATTTAAATGAAATTTTTGCATTAGAACCTATCAAAAAGGAATCTGTTGCGAGTTTAATTACTTTACAAAATACTGTACAACGAAATCTTTCAGCTCTTAAAAATTTAGGTCGTCCTACAGAATCATACAGCGACATTTTAATTAATCGAATTGTTGTTAACCTGGATGCCAAAACTCAACGTGATTGGGAGTTACATATTTCAAATGACACAGAATGTCCTACGTTCGAAGAATTTAATGATTTTCTTTTATCGCGAATTCGTGCACTTGAAGCACTCAATCACTTTGAGGTGGCTCAAAGGTCAAATCAATCTCAAACAAAATCAGCTCAATCTCAAGCATCGTCCTCGCGTAAACAAAAACCAATAACTGCAAATTCATATGTTGTAACTTTTCCAAACTCACAGTGTCCAATCTGTGATCAAAATCATAAAATTTATAAATGTCAACAATTTGAAAGTTTATCACCTCTCGATAGGTATAATAAAATTAAACATTTAAAGTTTTGTACAAATTGTTTAGGTGTGAATCATAAGGCACAAGATTGCCCGAGTACTTATACATGTAAGAAATGTCAACAGAAGCACCACACCATGCTTCATCGTGACACGTCAAACAGTATGAGTCAACCCAATACAGAAAAGAATGAAGGCTCAGCGTCGAATAAAGATAAAAATGAAACAAAAATTATTCAAACACATTTTTCACTTTCTAATAAATTAACAACAAAAACTGTTTTATTAGCCACAGTTCGACTTTGTGTAACATCTGATTCTAATAAAAAGATTCAAGTTCGCGCTCTTTTAGATCAAGGTTCGACGCTGTCCTTTGTTTCTAATCAATTAGCAACAGCCCTGAATGCAAAACGAATTCGAGTCTCGGCGACGTTATCGGGACTAAGTGGAACTTCAGCCGGGAAAGCTTCATCAGCTGTTCAAATTAATCTTATGCCACTTCACACTGATACTCCTGTTCTCCAAACGCAAGCCTTAGTCCTTCCAAAAATCACTTCCTACATTCCTGAAAAAAGAATTGTATTAGAAAAGTGGCCTTATTTACAAAATCTTCCTTTAGCCGATGATCCTTCAAGTAACGAACCAATTCATATGCTTATAGGTGCTGATCTTTACGGAGCATTAATTTTAAACGAGATAAAAAAAGGAAAGGTAAATGAGCCTATTGCACAAAAAAGTATTTTTGGTTGGGTGTTATCAGGACAAGTCCAAACAGACGAAGTTCAAAGTGATCCAATTATTTCTGTACATCATTGTGCATCCCTTGATCAATTAAATTCTTCAATTACGAAATTTTGGGAAGTGGAAGACATTCCTTCAAAAAAACCATTGTCTCCTGATGACGAATTTTGTGAATCACACTTTTCCACGACTCATTCCCGACTTCCGGATGGTCGGTATATGGTTCGTATTCCATTTAAAGAATCTCCCCCTCCAGTCGGACAATCTCGACTTATTGCAGAACGTTCTCTCAAAAGAATTGAATCTCGATTTAAAAAAAACTTTTCGCTTAAAAATCTATATACTCAATTTATGACTGAGTATGAGACTTTGAATCATATGAGTCGTATCGTCAATGAAATTAAATCCAAAAATCTAATCGTTTATTTGCCTCATCACCCAGTGTTTCGTGAACTTAGCCAAACCTCAAAACTTAGGGCAGTTTTCAATGGTTCTAGTAAAACTACGAATGGAAAATCAATTAATGATTGCATGCATATCGGACCCAAATTACAATCAGATTTATTAATGATTGTTTCTCAGTGGCGTTCATATAAATTTGTCTTATTGGCTGACATAGCCAAAATGTACCGCCAAATCCTCATTGATCCCCAAGATCGAGATTTTCAACGGATACTGTGGCGATCATCATCAGATTCTGACATGATCGATTATCAGTTGAATACCGTAACATACGGAACTCGATCAGCTCCGTATCTTGCCCTCCAAGTTTTAAAACAACTAGTTGATGATGAAGGTAGCAACTTTCCAGCTGCATCTATCGTTCTCCAACATGATACCTTTGTTGACGATCTTGTTTTTGGAGGTCATGAAAAGGGTGAAGCTCTGCAAGTTCGAAATGAAGTAATCGAATTACTTCAAAAGGCTCAGTTAGAGCCACGAAAATGGGCTAGCAATCATCCTGATCTAATCTCAGATATTGATTCTTCTAATCATGGAATCTCTTGGAATTTAAATTCGAATCAGGAAGATGGCATTAAAGTTTTGGGAATCGCATGGAATGCTAATTCAGATACATTTCACTTCTCAATTACTCTAACAATTCCTGAAATATTAACACAACGTATCGCACTTTCTTTATTATCAAAATTGTTTGATCCTATAGGGTGGATATCACCAATTTTGGTGACTGGAAAAATCCTAATGCAACATACTTGGTTAAGTAAAGTTCAGTGGGATGATCCTCTATCAACACAATTGCAACAAAAATGGTTAAAATATTTTCAATCACTAACTTCCCTTCCAAATATATTAATTCCTCGATGGAATTTTAATCATCCAACAAATCAACATGCTGAATTGCATGGATTTGCGGATGCTTCACAATCAGCATATGGAGCTGTAATTTATCTTCGCAGTATTGATCAATTGGGAGAGGTTCAAGTCTCATTGATCACAAGCAAAACTAAGGTTTCTCCATTAAAAGGACAAACAATTCCACGATTGGAATTGCTAGCTGCCTTACTTCTTGCTCGACTCATTTCATATGTAAAAGGAATTCGTGCTTTCAAGGATCTTTTGGTACATTGCTGGACTGATTCGAAAGTGGTACTCGCTTGGTTGAGCAATCACCCTTCCAAGTGGAAATTGTACATATCAAATCGAGTCACAGAAATTCAAACTCTTTTACCAACTGAAATTTGGAAGCACGTCCCTACAAAAAGCAATCCAGCTGACTTAGCTTCACGCGGTGTAACCCCTGAAGAACTTGAATCCTCTGCCTTGTGGTGGAATGGACCCGATTGGCTGATCAAGCCTCCAGATCAATGGCCTAATCAAACTATTTCTTCCCCAGATGAATCCATGCTAGAATGCAAACTCGTTGTACATCATGTAAATATTCCAGATGTCAACAGTCTGAATGATCGTCTATTCAAATCATCTTGGAAGAAAACCGTTAGAGTCACCGCTTTTGTTCTAAAATATATTCAAATTTTAAAGAAAGCTATTATCCAAAAGCGTATTTTAAATCACGAAGTAAAAAAGGAATCTTATATTTTAACTGCTAATGAATTGACACTAGCTACACAAGTTCTATATAAAATTCTCCAAAAACAATTATTCCCTTTAGAATTGAATGACCTTCACCATGAACAACCAGTGTCTAAAAAAAGTAGGCTCCATTCCTTGAACCCGTTTCTTGATAAATATGGTCTTATTCGCGTGGGTGGTAGGTTAAACAAATCGGATCGTCCTTTTGATTCTAAACATCCTGTAATTCTTGCTAAACATCCATTAGTTAAAGTATTGATTCACGATGCTCACCTTAAATGCATACACGGTGGATCAAAATTAACATTAAGTACCATTCGACAAAAAATTTGGTTAATTAACCCTCGTCCTCAAATCAAAGCTGTATTGTTTAGCTGTCTTCCATGCACCAAAATCAAAGCAGAATTACTTTCACAAATCATGGCAGGTTTACCAAAGCCTCGAGTTACAAAACCAGAAAGACCCTTTATTCATTGCGGGATTGATTACGCAGGTCCGTTACAAGTACGAATGGCGGGCGGTCGCGGAATCAAATCACAAAAATGTTATATAGCACTTTTTATTTGTTTTGCAGTAAAGGCCATTCACTTGGAACTGGTATCTGATCTCACATCAGAGGCCTTTATTGCAGCGTATAAACGATTTTCGGCACGACGCGGTATCCCCACTCATTTGTACAGTGATCACGGGCTCAATTTTAAGGGTGCAGATCAAATTTTAAATAATGATCATAAGCAAACTCTCTCAAATCCAAAATTTCAAAATATACTTGCTAACGATGGAGTTACTTGGAATTTTATCCCTCCTGCAGCTCCTCACTTTGGAGGACTTTGGGAGGCTGGAGTCAAAAGTGTGAAGTCGCATTTAAAACGCATTTTGTTAGACAAAACTCCAACTTTCGAAGAACTTACAACCCTACTATGTCAAATTGAAGGAGTCTTAAATTCAAGGCCTATGGGAGCTTATACCGATAACGTCGACGATCTCGATCCTTTGACTCCGGGGCATTTTTTGATTGGTGGACCTATCAACGCAGTACCCCAACCCTCCCTTCTAGATCTCAATGTAAATCGATTGTCTCGTTGGCAACAGTATCAACAAATGTTTGAAAATTTTTGGGAGCGTTGGTCTACTGATTATTTACAATCCCTCCAACATCGAACTAAATGGACAATCGAAAAAATGCCTATTAAAGTCGGTCAAATGGTTTTATTACGAAAACCAAACTTACCCCCTACTAAATGGAATTTAGCTAGAGTAATTCAATGTTTTCCGAGTTCCGATAATCATGTTCGAGTGGTGAGAGTAAAGACAAGTGAATCTGAGTATGTAAGACCAATTACTGAACTTGTTATGTTACCAGTTGATTTAAAGGAAAAAGATTAATGCGAAATTTACACTTTATTATTTTCGATGGTCATACGAATTTCTTTTGAAATTAATTATTTCAAGGCGGGCGGTTTGTAAAATAATGATCAAAACCACGAAATTAGTTTTAAGGAGAATTAAATTTGTATTACGTCCCTGAATGATATCTCTCATTTTTGAATTGAATTTGCGCATTTAAAAACAGTTGTCGTCTTCCCTTTGAAAGGGCAAGTCTCTAATGTTGATTTTCGAGAGTGAGTGAGTGATTCATACCACAAATGAAACAATGTAATATAGTGAAATAAATGTTGGTTTTTTTTATGAAAAAATTAACTTTGTTATTTTTAATTTTCAAAATGATTAGTGCCAAATACTAAAGGTTTAAGTTCATCTATTGCTGAAGTTTCAGCAACGAACCAGATTTCGAAATCATAATTTCAATTATGATAAGTGATTAATACATAGTTCAAAATCTAAATTTTGAAGAACAATCAAATTGGCGATCCTGTTAAAGTAAAATTTAATGTGCAAACAAATACAGTTTGTGATCGCTGCATCATTTTTTAATAACATCTTGCGTGTGAAATTAAAAGTTTTAGAAAATTGTAGTATTTTTTCACTAAAACTAAATTGAACTTAAAGTTTATGAAAATATTGTATTTTTGTTAATTGATTTTGGTGTTATATATTGTAGAGTTAATTAATTTATAAATAAAGTCATATTCTTTGAAGTAGTTTTAATTCATTTTGTCAAATGAATTTTAAATTAAATGTTTTTTATACCAAATAGATTTTATGTTATATGAAATTTATATTAAATGGTTTTATGTCAAACGACTATTATGTTAAGTAAGATTTCGGGAGTAGGGGAGAGCGGGGTTGAATGTGCCGATTTCGACAAAATGAATGAATAAGTAATAGTAAAATAGCAACTATTTATTTTTACTTATGAAGTACTTAGTGTAGAATTTTGTGTAGTTTTTAAATTAATTTATACTTTTTGAAATTTTTTAATGGTTTTCAATAAAAATGTGGTTTTCTGTAAAGCGGTGACGCGTCCTGACGACCCTGACTACGGGGTCGGTTGTTCCGACGCTATATAAAATATGAAAAAGTCAGTTGAATAACACTGTGCGACACATTTTTCTTTCCCGGTTGGCTCTTGTGCTAAATGATAGTACAAATAAACAGTAATTTAACCCTCCAAGGGTTTTTGAAATGTAGCTCAAATTTATTTTTTATAAACCTTTGAACTTATGCTCATTTTTGTGAAATTTTCAAAAATTTTCAATCTTTTGCTGTATTTAAGTAGAAATATGAATTAAGTAATGAGTAAAATATAAGTATTAAATAAATTCTAATTAAAAAGGTGTAATTATAGTCCTTAAATGGAAAAGTGATTATAAAAGCTAATTTATCGAATTTTTCTGTATTTTTTTAACAATTTTTTTATAACCATAATGTAAATAAATAATAACATTTAAATTGTTTAACAATTTTTCCAAGGAAAAAATATTCAAAACTATTTTTTTAAACAATCTATTTTTAAAATCATATATCACAAAAGGTGCAAAATTTCTTTAAAATATCACAAATTGTAACTTGAAATTTAAAATTTCATAAAAATATAAAATGAACTAAGTTTGCAAAATCCTTTTCGGGTTTCATTATTGCATACATCTACTTCAATTTAAGCCTACACTTATTTGGGAAAGAAACAATAAACTAAAAATTGTTGCACAGTGTAATCAGTTCGAATGAGACTCTACTTTAAGTCCAAAAACTGGTGGAAATTTTGGATAAATTTTTAATACCGTAAACTGGGGCTATTAGGAACAGATTTCAACTTTAAAGTCTTGCAACTTTTTTGTGTATTGAAATATTGCCTTAATTTTTTGTTTCTTTTCTTGATCTTGGCGAGCACATTGAAGGGTTAAATAATTGCCTTGATCAAAGCTAGAATTTTAAACAAAAAAAAAGAAAAAAACGCTTTTCTTCGAAATTATAAAATGGGGCTATTAGGAACAAGGCGGTAAAAACCATTAGAAAACGTATTTTAAATTAAAGAAGTTATTTTTTATTGCTCGAAAGCAAACACAGAATATAAAACAAATGTAAAAACAAAACTAAAAGAGCGAATGTGTGTTTTAAACGTTGCTGGTATCATAGTAGAGGTCGATGATGGAATCAATAGTCGTTTTTTGCGACTTGTCGTTACCAACACTCTTTTATAATTTCAAACCATCTTTGAACACTAAAAACCAAATTAGGTGATAAAAAACAAAAGAAATTACGAAAAACTTACGTTTTGACAACACACTTTAACAATTCGGAAGAAATAATTATGTTTCTTATATTCCCGCCGTTTGTAAGTATTTATTACTTAGTGAACTCAATAAAGTTTACCATAAGAAATCCCATTAATAAAAAACAATCACTTTGAGATGTTAAAAATGAAACAACTTACATCAGCAATGAAATGTTTTCCACGTTTAAAACTTCACTAAAACACATTAAGTCACTTACAAGCTACTATTGTTAACAAAATATTTAATAATCACAATTATTGCATTAAAAAGTGTTGCCAGTTACCGCAGCAACAATTTTTCAAAAGCAGGTAAAACAATTAATCAATAAACGGCGCCGATAGCATCAACTTCACCCGAAAACAGAATTTTGTTCCTAATAGCCCCGGTGTTCCTAATAGCCCCAGTTTAAGGTACATTAATTAAAGTACTACAACTTGACAAATATTGTTCTCTGAATTTAAATTAGTTAAAAATAACTAATTTGACATTAAAAAGTCAGTCACTGATTCCAGCTGATTTAAATTTAGAGAGTATATAGGTTCTAGTCTTCCGCGTAATTAAAATCTTCTGTCTAGCGAGGGTTAAAAGTGATCTATAAATAATAGGTGAATAAATATTTGAATCTATGTTTATACTTCTCAAATGATTTACAATTTGAAATTTTTTGAAGAAAATCGTAACTTGTTATTATTTGAAAGGAAAAGTATATATATATATATATATATATATATATATATATATATATATAAATATACAAAAAGTGAAATCCGACAATATATATTCTTTATTTCCTGTGCATGTGATTCGCTTTATTGCCCAATAATTTATGGAATCATTAGTGCATATAATGATTGACAATTTAATATTGAAAATAATATATTCCTAATGGAGAAATCTTCAATGAATTGCAAGATTTAATAGTGTCCTTGATTTTTTTAACTGGCATAAGATCCTAAAAAGAAAATTGGGAAATTATAAAATTGCAATTATTAAAACAATACCCTCAAAAGTTACTTAATAGGTAATTAGAAATTTTATACTTATAGAAGCGCGTATTTTATTATTGACGATTGTTGCTCAAAAAGAAAGACCTTGTATATATATGTTGTAAATGCATTTATAAGTGGGTTTAGACGTACATACACAGATAGAGAAGATACGCGAAAGTTAATGTATAAGAACAAAGTAAACGCACGAAAAATCGTCAGTTTCCGTTGTTAAATGTAATTTCAAAACTCTTCCTCAATCATTTTTTTTCCATTCTTTATCCTATCACTGCTTTTGTTTATTATAAATATTTTTAAGTTATACTTTGCCTCCTCTTACAGAGAGTATTGTGTTAGTGAAAATTTGCGTCACTATACTAGAATCTCTAGTCTAGAAAAATTCATTAAATCCCAATAAAATTCTAATTAAATATTATAATAATTTAGACTAGAAAAAATGAACAACTGTGAGTTGAACTGATACTGAAACGGAGGGTTTCAATCACGGAATTATCAATTTCTTAAAGGAGAGAGGACACAATGGAACGAAATTTTAATTTACCATTTAAATCGTCTAGAACTCTCATTTTTAACCGATTTTACTGAATTTTGTCTTAAATGAAAGATTATAAAATATAGAAGATATTTATTAAGTCCAATTACAACATTTTTTTGTTTATATTCATGTCTACTGCCTCATGGAAGCATTGTTTTACCGAAAATTTTCAATCAGGAATTTAAGAATCATATTTTTAGGAAATGTCACATTATATTTTCATAAATACCTCGAGAATATGAAGAGCTTTAGGGATGAATTTTCCTTTAAATTGTACGTCTCACGTGAGCACATAAAATGAGAGCACTATTGAACCAGATTAAAAGAGATTAACTTTTAACAAAAAAAACTTGGTGTGATTTCTGTTGCGTGTGAAATAAGCCAATGTTAAACGACATAAAACGTGGTTAAAACACAGTAAAAAGTAAATCTTAATTTAAGATCGGTCTTAAATTCAGCACTGTCTGCTATAATGTTAAAGGATACAAAATGTGTGCGTAAATTCAGCATTGACTTCCTTAAAAATGTTGCATCTTAATTTAAGGCTGATTTCCTGCCTTAAAATAAAACTTTCTTTTTAATGTGAAGGGTAAATTTTATTGCAAAAAAAACACTTTTAACCGTTTTTTGATTTGAAATTTTTGTTATTTTTTTTGCATTAACACCTTTAGGTTACTTGAAATACTTTAATTTAAAATATTTAATGTACTTTTAGATTTTAGAACAATAAATTACGTGTTTTATTATATCTTAATTTAATATTATTCTTTTTAACTTTTTTTCATGTTTACCCTTTACGGGTAGTTTTTTGTTTTTAATAAATAAAAGTAATAAAGAAATAAATACTTATTAGTTCATTAAGGGGGGGGGGGGAGGAAAGGTTTTAACGGTTAAAAAAGAATGTTTTTAAGAATTTTTTTTTGCGATACGCAAAAAGTTAATTTATTTTATCACTATGAACATAATTATATTCTTGCCGACGTGATTAAATTTCATTTTGTTACTATTTTCGACCAAAATTAGCTTAGGGGGCCAACTTAGGACCACTCTCCTCTAATTATAAATAATTTAACAACAAATTAGTAAACAATATTAATAAATAGTTATTATTCATAAAATATTTCTCTTCTTAATTAAATTGTATTAAAGATGGAGACTGACAATAGATATAGTAAATAAAGTAGAAAAAAAATGTTTATAACATTTACAATTTAAATAATAAGCCATTACATTAAGTGCGTATTAGATTTTCCAATTTTTGGACTACGGACTTGTAGACTAACTAAATAAATTAAAATAAAATTTTTAATTATTAAATTAAATAACTTAACTTATTGCATTTAACATTTTACCAGTGCTAATTTTCTAATTTTTATTCATAATAAGAAGTATAAGATTTAAATAAGAACTAAAGCATTGTTGAGATTAATATTTCAATTTTGTTTACAATTTTACTTTGTTTAAATAATATTTATTATTTACAAAATTAGAAAATTATGTAAAATTATTATTATTAAATTTAACAAAAATAAGAAATAAATAGTCTATGAAAAGGGACCTTACGTATGAAAAAATCATTTTTCACTATTTTGTTGATTCGAATAGAGTATAAAACGCTATTTAAGATGATGAAAACCAGAAAGTCACAATTTGTTTAGAAGTTTTTTAAAAGCTTGCTTAAAGTCAAAAGAAACAAGAGTACAAATACGAAAAAACTGATCTTTTTGTTACCATACAAATTAAAATAACGAAGACGATAATTTGTTATTATTTCGAAAAGTTGACAGTTTTTTTTACAGTTGTCAACTGTCAAAATTTAAATTTTATATCATATTCGTAATCAGCGACCTTATTACTGTCTTTTTTTATTAAAAATGATCACTTTTTAGAGAAGTTGATAGTTGAATTGACAGCTGTCAATAATTGTCGATTTAACATCATATTAAAAAATTTTTTCATTACTTGTATGTTTTTTATTTTGATACTGTGATCCACACTGAAGAAAATAAGTCAAACTTGATTGAAAAATATTTAAGTAAATATAAATAAAATATAAATAATAAAAATATAACAGAAATAAAGGATTGTGTTAGAAAATTATGTAGATAGTGACGCATTAAACAGAAAAGTGTACCGACAAAGCAATTTTAAACGTGTACTATCTACCACATAGTGCACTTTTCATGTATTCTCCATAATTTTCGGATAAAAAATGTGCACTATCTATAGTTTTATTAATAAATAATTAGAATTAATAATTTTTTTGCACCAATGAAAAGAGCGTGTCCGAATTAGTCAAGAACATTTAAGTTGGTTTACAAAAATTTTAATTTTATTAAGAGATCCAGATGCAAACGCGTTTCCTTCAATATCTCCGATTGAGCTAAAAAGTAGATAGTGTCTTTTTTAAAAAGGACGGCAGCAAACAACTTTGACATCTATATTTATAACATTTCTAGACCACATCTAGACCTAGATCTCCTCTCAACTTCTTAGACGTCGAATACCTATAGACTTCGGTTAGACCTTTTATTTCTCAGTGTATAATCAACCAGATAAATAAAAATAGTTAGAACTTTGTAAAAACTGTGTTGATCAATTAGAAGAACAACAATTAAATTTCTGAAAATAAAAATAAGTGAAGTAAATAAATTATAAATCTAAGTATGTGATTTTATAAATGAATGTTTATTCATAATATATTATTTTAATGATATATTCTCATCAGATTAGATTATAACAAATATTCAACTATGAAATTAAGGGAAAGTAGATGTATTCTTTTCTCTCGAAATTAATAAAAGGTACACTTATAATCCAGAAAAAAAATAAAATTGTATTTTGTTGTTGTTGAACACATGTGCAATGGAGTAGATATTCCTTATACATTTAAAGTTTAAACATATAAGTATATACTTATGGTATTCGAAATACATATTGTTAGAAAGAAATCAATGAATCAAGTATGATTTGAATCGTCTCAAAAGAGCGACCGCGCTTGCACTTGTGCACGCAGCGGAGTTGCGCTTGGGTGTATCTCGTGGGGGTCCCATTCGGGCCTGACTTGAGGACTTGCGATGACGGGGTGGTAGGGAGAGAATATTGATGTGGCGGGGTATAAGCCGCCAAAGAACACCGGCGAAAGGGAAAATACCGTCAAGTCTCTTTTTATTTGTCAGTGCCCCGTTTTTTGACACGACCGATTCGATCGAGTTTCATTTGTCCATTCGACACTCAACCACTGGCCGCGCTACCAGATTGCACGTTCGCCATAATATTCTTAATCCCGGAAAAAGATGTATCTCACCTGATGACCGGAAATTGCGTGTCCTTTGTTGGCCCGCCAAAAATCTTTTTTTACAAAATTATAAAAAGTAATTTTCGGTTTTTGAGATTTTTTTTAGTAAACGCATATTTGTAAATAGTGAATTTCGTGCTGTGATTTATATTATATATATTTTATCAATTTGTGAAGTGGTGGTTTCTATATTCCCTGTCGGATTTATGAAGTGAGTGTGATGCATGTTACGCTGGATTAGGAGGCGAATATAGGTAACTTTTTCTCCTTTAAAATATTAGTATACAAAATATGTTGATTATTTAATAATCTGCTTAAAAACATATTTATTCTTTTCTATTTATTTAATATATTTATTATATTAATTAATATATTCATTAAATATTTTTAATAGTATTCAGAATATTTTCAGAATTCAAATTTTTAAACAAAAAATTATATATTATATATTCTAAATTTAATTAGTCATTTACGACTAATTGAACAATACGGATTTATTCATTTAATTAATTAGTGATAATATTCTATAATAATTGGTAGTAGAAAATTATTATTTCATCTATGTTAGTATAAAGCTACTATTTACTTTACTATTTTATTAAACTTTACTAACTAGTTAAATTAGTCATTTTTAACATTAAAAATTAGTATTTACGGGGTAAATAATTTTTGATTAGTATTTATTAATTAAATTGCACAACTTACATAATATGAAATTTTCAATTTGCATATATATATATTACATAAACGATAATTTATATAATTAAAATTGATTATTATTAATACATTTATATTATAATTTTCAAAATTGAAACTTATTTATAAGTTGCAACTGTTGATATATATGATAAAGAATTGAAAATGTATTAGGAACTTGTATAGGCAATTTCATTCCATGACTGATAAACACGTGAGAACATTTTAAAGAAAAGAGGTTTATAAGTGTAAAATTGAAAAAGTTGTTTGAAGCGATTCAGTGTTGTTACGGGACAAAGTAGAATTGCAGAATATTAACCGAACAGTATCAGAATAAACTGACCATTGCTGTCGGCAAACCACTTTCACGTATACATATAACTATTCACTACTAACTTACGTAAAATCAAAGACCACAGCTGGAACAAAAAACAGTAAATTTCTATTTAGTTATGCTGATTTAGATATTATTCTTTTATGAAAGATCAGTTTTTAATAATTTCAGCCTTCAAATCATTGTTATTTTCGACAAAAAATTTAAGAAGATGATAAATATGTGACGCGCTCCCAAGAAAGGTACCTAAGAAGCAAAAAATTTGAGGTTATGTTTTAAATTTTGTAAGTAAAAATACGGAAAGAGAATCAATTATTAATTAAAAATTGTTCGTCTTCAAGTCTTCACTATATTCAAAATATTTAATGAATATTGGTTTCAAATTCAAATAATTAAAAATGAACTTTTAATCAAGATAAATCTAACTCAAACCCAACCTATAATTCGTTTGCTTCTTATAGGTACCTTTCTTGGGAGCGCGTCACATATATGTAAATAATTATAACAAGACACCTACAATTTTTTTTTCATAAAAGTTAAAAATTAAAATCCAATGCTAAATAATTATAATTACATTTATTGAAACCGAATTATTATATTTGTTTAGTGAGGAATAAACCATCTTTAATCAGATAAACTATTTATTTTGCATTAGGTGTTATATATTTTAAAATACTAAGCAGAATACATTAACAGTGTTGGATACAAAATTATGATTAAATTGACACACACGGAGAGAAATGAGTTTGCTATTATATAGATAGCGCAACTTCTTAAATTTTTGACCGCCATATTGGATTCGATAATTTGAATATGTATTCAAAAACTGACACCGGATTCGTAATCAGCGACCCAAAAAACTATTAAAGCCTGTTGAGATATAAAATTTTCTATGCAGGGTAAATTGAACCATTTTGGTACCGGTTTTTGCAATTTAATTAAACCGTAGGAGGGTTAATAAATTTTTAGGAAAGTTGTGGGTGTGACCTGATTTTTAATATATATTTTTTAAAGAAAATTTTACACGTTAATTATTTTATAGTGTATTTTAGGATACAAATATAACTTCTATTTACTTGAAAAGTAGTTAAAAAAATTTTAATTAATAGAAATAATTATTATAATAATACATTAATTTAATATTGGCTAATTAGGTCAAATAATGTAAAAGTTAAGGAAAAAAACGTTTTTTCAAATTTGAGGTCTACTCCTGCACTGAAAAAAATTCTTAGTAGATTTGACTACTTTTTAACTACTTTCCTTAGTTCAATAAGTCCCCAAAGATAATTTTGAACTTACATTAATTATCAGATATGTAGTTGAATGAAGTGATAATACAGTTGCATTAACTACTTTTCTTAGTTAAATAGGAACCAATGACAGTTTTGCAGTAGAATTAACTGCTGATATGTAGTTAAAGTTACTAAGATAACTCAGTAATAAAGTAACTACTGAAAATGGTAAAATAAAATTATTTATAATTTATTATAAATATTATCGAGTTGTATTTTTTTATATTTCCCCCTACCCACTTTTGTTTACCTATACCTTATTTATTTAATGTCTATATACCTAACGGAGAAAAATCTCTAAACGTCGGGAGTTGAACGCTCGACCCTAACATTCGTAAACCGATAACCTAACCACCTAACCACGCTCGCCCGCTACGATGAGTTGCTTAATACTTAAAGGCATTCCAGACACAGTTCAACTGATAACTGTAGTTAATTTTACTACTTAAAGTAGTTGCATTTACAACTTTTCACAGTTGATAATCTTCTATAAAAATCTATAACATAAATTACATGGAAAATAATTCAACTCCTAGAAGAAGTAAAAACTACTACAAAATTAGTATATCAAACTACTTTAAGTAGTAGAATCTACTACTTTCTGTAGTCATTTCTATAACATACCTGCAGTTACAAAGTTAACTGTAAAATTACATTAATTTAATTAATAATTTTTAACTACATAAAACAGTTAAAATAAGTATCAAAAGTAGCCAGACTTACTAAAAAAGTAGTTCGTTTTATTACTTTTTACTCTACTAAGGGGATGTAGTTGAAAATGTCTCATGTATTTTTTTCAGTGTGCATTGCACAAAAGAAATTCCCGAACTTTTCAGAAATCTGCCGTGAACTTCGAGAATTACGATTTTTTAAAAACTTCTTTGGTCTTAAATTAAAAATGAGACTTCAAGGATGACGCCTATATAAGTTTAAAATTTTGTCTGTAATTATTAAAAAATATGCTAGAGTTTCAAAATTGTCAAAAAAATTTCATTTTCTAATTTTTTCTTCAAATTTGTCGATTGCTGAAATCTTTGTGTAATTTATTAAAATTTTCTATTGTATATCATTTAACGTAGAATATTATAAGCTTCCGAATGGTATATTAATTGTTAATTTTCTGACATTTGTTTTTACAGAAAAATCGAGATTTAAAAATTGGTATGTTTTTGGGCCATGCGCGTGGAGCCGTACCGATAATTTCCGACGGTAGTGTATATCAAATGCTATAGTTAGATAATTTAGTCTAGAAAAAATTATCAAGACCTTATTAATTTCCAACTAGACAAACTAGTGTACAAGTATTATATATAAATTATAATCTATCGGTTTAGATAAATAATTCATGTAAATTAATAAAAAAATTTATCAACATTAGAGGAGTGTGTCTAGGTATGAGACGGGTTTTGTTTTTTACCCATAAATTGTGAATGGTTAAACGAAATTGTAAATAAAATAAACCTTTCGAAAAGTAACTTAAATGCGTAACTTTTATTCAAAGAAAGTATAGTGTTCAGATGGACTCAAAAAAAGTTATGATCAATTTTCGGAGCACATCGCTTTTGTCAAAAAAAATGTGTCCAGTTGTGAGACACTTATTAAAAATTGCTAAAATTTAAAAAGTTTGTCATAAAACGTTATGTTCAGTATATATAATTAAATATATTAATAATATATATTATTATATACTAAATAATTAAATATATTAATAATATATATTATTATATACTAAATAATAAAATATATTACTTGTCAATTTTTGACGTGTAGGTCAAAACTGACCTTAAAATTGACCTAAATTTTAAGAAAATATCAAATCAGAGGGAGATTTTTGGTCAAATTTTAACTTGTAGGAAAAAACTGCCATTAAAATTAAAGTACATTTTGAGGACAGAAAAATAATTTTAATAGAATTTTTAAAAAAAGATGTCAATTTATAACATCTTTCATTGATTGAAACTTAATATTGAAATTTAGGTCAAACTTCTTTTAACCAATAGGTCGAAAATTCCGTCAAATTTTAATATAAGAGAACGACTTTTTAAAAAATCCTAATTAATTTGCTTTTTTCATGAGTAGGTTAAAAAATATGTGAAATTTGACCTAAATTTTAAGGAAAGGTCAGGTCAGAGGAAGTTTTTTCGACAATTTTTGCCGTGTAGATGAAAACTGCCCTTAAAATTGACCTAATTTTTGAGGGCAGAGGGAATTGTTCGTAAATTTTTTCCGTTAAGGTCAAAACTGCCCTTAAAATTGACCTACATTTTGAGGGTAAAGGGAATTGTTTGTCAATTTTTTACCTGTAGGTTAAAACTGCCCTTCAAATTAACCTAAATTTTAAGGGCAGAGTGGTTAGTTTGTCAATTTTTTACCTGTAGGTTAAATCTGCCCTTAAAATTAACCTAAATTTTGAGAGCAGAGGGAATTGTTTGTTAATTTTTGACCTGTAGATTAAAACTGCCCTTAAAATTGACCTACATTTTGAGGTCAGAGGGGTTAGTTTGTTAGTTTTTTACCTGTAGGTTGAATATGCCCTTAAAATTGACCTAAATTTTGAGTAATTTTGACCTGTAGGTTAAAACTGCCCTTAAAATTGACCTGAATTTAGGTCAAATGTAAATTGTTTCTGACCTACGAATTTAAAGTCAGTTTTCAAATATTCAAAATATCGGATCCAATATGGCGGACACTTTTTTGTAAAATTCATCGGATTCGCTTAAAACTCGCTACTCGGAGGTTTACGGTGTTGCTGATTACTTTGAAGTAAGTTTTCAAAAATTAAAAATGGATCCAATATGATACCTTTTGGAAAAATTTATCAGATTCGCTTAAAATTCGTTACTCAGGGATAATAGGGGTCGCTGACTACGAATTTAAAGTCAGTTTTTAAAAATTAAAAATGGCGGATCCAATATGTCGGACCCTTTTTCGA